GCAGGGGGGTTGGGCTGGATGACTTCTAAAGGTCCCTTCCAGCCCAAAGCATTCTATGATTCTGTCAGTTGGAGGAACTGATTGGCAGGAAGGTTCAAACTGAAACCAGCACATGCCTGTCTGAGAGGAGAGACATGAGTTTGAATTCTTCAGATTCAGAAGGCCTGAAATCCTAGCCTTTCAGTTCCATAGTTCCCCTTGTCCAGTAATACAACATTGATAATGAAGAGGTAAATTTTAAATGGTATACTGCAATGGAGGGTGATACTCAGCACTGGGTGAGAAACAGTGTCTCCCTGCTTCCACAGAGATCAGCTCCAAAAAGAGCATCTCCCAGTTCATGAAGAGTTCCTCTTTTCGATTTACTCTTCAAATCACCATACTGGCTGGCACTTCCCTTTGAAAGGATTGTCAACGTTTGTCTTGGCTATGGAGCTATTATGTAAATAGCACGGTATTTCTTCAGCAAAGCTTTTAAGAGAGTCACTGTTAAGAGCTTTGTGCATGGATCTCAATTTCTTACAACTATTAGGTGTACTCCAGAGCTCGTCTATTGGATGTGCACTCCCAGTACCTAAGCAAAGGAACCCATGGTTTCTAGATTTTTTTGATAGGTTTAAGTGGTAGTGAGCCTATAGCTAGCTATTCTGAGACAGTCAGGCTATGCACTGAAGCAGGACTGAAGGTGCTTGGGAAACTATGGGGGAGATGACGGGCTTTGAGAATATTCAGGTCTAAAGCTCTCAACTGGGCTGCCACTTAGAAGTAGTGACCTTTGTATAGCCAGCTTCAAACACTCAGTCTTGCCCCAAAGTGAATGTCTGCTGGATAATTAAATTATGATAGGGTGGTGGTTGTACTAGAGATCACATAATGCAGTCTTTCTGCACTTGTTTGTTGTAACAACATTGTGGTAGTACTAATTCTTGATAATTATTTAGGAGCTTGTGTGCTAAATTAGCACTTTCAGACACACAAAGGTAAAAAATCCCAAGCTCATTTTTCTTGTGAGTTTACCTTATTTTTGCATGTTAATTGTTCTCTTTTTGGTAGTCTGGTTTTTTTTAATCCCCATTCCCTCCTTTTACATCCTGTTCATACAAGGCCTAATTTTTGGTAGACAGCTGTCATTGTCAGATTGGATTCAACAGTTGTGGGCAAAATCAGTTCAATGATTTTTTTTTTGGGGGGGGGGGGGGAGGCAGAATTTCAGTCAATTTCATTTATTGTCAGTTATCAAACCTCTAGTTACTGATTCTGATACTGAAAGAAAACAAACACTTAAGGAAAAAACCACACCTTACTGCTGCAAAACCCTTCCTCCCCACTCTTTGTTCTCCAGTCCCCTCGCTGCAGGCCATGGAGGGCGCAGGAGATGGGGGTCCTTTCGCGGGGTAGCGCTCCGGTGAAGGTTGTCCCTGGGCAGCTGCCCCACTCCCACCCATGCGTGCAGGCCGTCGTGGTTCCTAGGTGCCTCCCACCCGGCTGCCGTGGCCGCCCGTGGCTCCTCCCTGCCTCCCCTGCAACAAAAACCTTGCCAGTGAGGCCCAGTGCAATCAATCGATGCTAAGTTTGAACACAAACCAGACACAAAGCTAGGAATGACAGCACCCCGAAGTCTATGTGAAATCTCGTAGCAACTTATGCTGAGAGCACTATTTTACTGTGTTTGAAATAACTGCTCAAAAAGGGCTGGTTAACTGTGGTAAAAACTTAGAAGCCAGTCTTTGGTTTTCTCTTATGTGAGACTGATCATATGATTTGTTGAACAAACAATTAGGAAGAATGTGTGTGCTTTTACACCATATAATAAATCACTTTTAGGCATATGTAAAGCCTATGAGAACTTGTTTTTTTTCAGAACATGGTTCCTGTAGACAAAAAAAGTTAGTGTACGTCACGAGCCCAGTTTAAGCAAAGTGCATTAAGACCACTTAAGTAATTTATTCACTTTAACAGCTATGGTAGTTTATTCTGGAATAAATGAAAAGGACCTCAATTTGAAATTCAAAGAACAAGAAAATGATGGTTAAAGTAATTATTTTTACTAATTAATATTTCAGTTAAGGCCATGAAAAGGAGAGAGCTATGATGAAGAGTAAGTCTTCCATTTGGCAGCACATCACACGGGGGATTGCAGTGACTCCTTGAGACAGTAGACCTCAAAGGAACAGACTTTTGCATTCAGAACAAGCTTAATCCTGGTTAACTTTGCTGTAAACAGTAACATAGGTTATTAGCTGTTTATACATTTAGATTATCCATTATCTACCTTGATATCTATATCCTCTAGGTAAATCTCTTATTTTTGCTCCATTGAACTGTTGCTGGTGCTGGTCTTCTCAATTCATTCCTTCAGTCTTCTGTGCAGGAAGAGCTGGACTGTCCTACACTTTCCTATTTTCCTATAACACAGGGAGAAAGAGATACCCCATCCTTCATTCCTGTTGTGTTGTTCCTAGTTTTTTCTTAACAGTTCACACCTAGAAAGTTTCAAATTTTCTTTCCATCTCCCAAGAAGACTTACATACTTACTTTTCTCAGAAATGAAAGAGAAAACATCTTAACAGGTTTTCTTAGTTCTGCCTCCTTTTAAGAAAAAAATAAAGTGCGCTTAACCTAATGTTTTCTGTGCAATGGATGAGCGCTTAGACTTTCTGGTGGTCTACAGTGACCATTTTAATCCTTTAACACCCACTGGTCTTCATGTTTCAGACTAAAAATAAAAATTGTTTTCAAGAAATCTCATGTAAACAAATCGTCAGGATGGTAACTGTATTACATAAATATGTGCACAACTTACTGTATGCTTACATCCATCACAAAGTTTCCTGAAGCAAGGAATTTTATTACTTATGGTAAAAAAGGTATATTAGCTGTTAATAATGCTGTATGTCACATCAGTGAAACTTGTTTTTTTGGCAATTGTAACAATATATATATTGAAACTGAAATTTTAGCGTGGTCTCAGGGGTTTTGTCTGCTTTTTTTTTTTAAGCAACCTAGTCACATTAAATATGTTAATTTTGTTTCTTCAGCTGACATCTGAAATGTTTGAAGCCGATCTTGAAAAAGCATTGCTGCTAAGCAAACTGGAATATGAAGAGCACAAAAAGGTATTTGCAGGATTCATCCTAATGTAAAAGCTGCACAAGTGAGGCTTGAATTTTAAAAATAAAGCAAAAAAACCTCTTAAAAGTACCATTTGCTTCCTGTAGATTGTTTGTTTACACTGTTCAGATGCTTAAGAGTTCAGAGAAATACTGCTTTTTAAAGAAATCATATATAATAGTATTGGGTGGTTTGTTTGGTTTTTTTTAATTGGCCTGTAAAGGTGGAAAATTAGCTTTACCTTTTCAATTTTCTGGAATATAAATGTGCTGGAATTTTTTAAAGAGTGCAAGAAGAGATCCTGACCCTCCTCAGAAAAAATCCAGCACCCTTGAAGAGTAAGAGAATCAAAGCACTGACTTCTCCTTAGGCCTTAAAGTGTCAGTTATGGTTGAATCTTTTGCATTTTTGCTAACATCTTTTCTCTGTTTTGAGTGTAAATATTTTAGTTCTAATAAGATATATACATTTTCTTAGCTGCTCAGGATACTGTTTTCTGAGTGGTTCTGATGGGACACTGAAGAATTTTTCTGAAAAAGTATGCTTAGACGAAATTTTTGTTTCTAATAGGAAGTTGCTTCTTATTTCCAATAAATCAGGAGCCAATGAAATGTTACAAAAATATGTAAATAAAATTATGTATCACAAAGAAATATATATTGCATGTGCACTTTCATGCAAATATCTCTGTACAATACTTCAGGTTCTTGGCGGGAGGAGACTACCGTAGTTCTTGAAAACCAAGGATAAATTTTTAACTTGCATACCAGATGTTCTTTTCTTAAAGTGAAGACAATCTTCAGGCATAGTAGCATAGCATCATTTGTAGACTTTTTGAGAATTACCTCTGAATAAGTTAAAATATACACTGTATATTCAAAATATACAGTACATGCATACGCTGAACAAATGTTGTTTCTATGGAAAGAAAAGTGCTCAATTTCCATCTTTGCTTTCCATATAACAATTTTTTTCTTAAGATTATTTAACATTTAAGATTAAAAGTAATCTTAATTAAAACATTTAATTAAGTAGTATTTAAGATTATTTTTAACAACTGGCACATTGATAATTTCCTAAGAATGTTAAGGTAAATGTGTGTGGAGGTGGGACTCGGGTTCAAATGGCTATCATGCACCAGGCTGTCTTATTTCAATAGGAATAAGGTCAATTGGTAGAGCATTGCTGCACACTAATAGCTCTCTGACTTCTACTGAATGAGTAAGCATATCTTGAGAATAAAAAGAAGGTACAGTAGACCTCTGTATTTTAAAGAAAGTGCTAAACTGCATTGTGTAGCACTCTGCCTTCCTGTGTTTGACTACTGTATGTTCTCAGTTTATGAATTTCTGGGATAAAATTTGATGCAGGTGATTGAGGAAGTATTAGGCTGATAGTTCATTCACTGTTTAGTGCAGAGCAATGCTGTACTTCAGAGAACAGAACTGATATTTAATTGCTGATATGTTTTGCACTCTTTAAACCAACAAATTACTATTCAGGCTAAAATCTTCTTTAGTACATTATCACTACTTCTTTTCCTTTATAAAGCTTCAGGAAAAAAAATATTTGGGTATTGAAGAAAATTACACCAGTGGGACTTTATTCTTCTAGGAATATGAAAACGTTGAAAATACTTCACCTCAGTCAAAGTCTGTGAATAAGAAAGAGAAAAAGAACCAGCAAGGAAAAGACAAACCTCTCACTGTGTCTCTGAAAGACTTTCAGTCAGACAGTAATATAGGTATGCCTTATCATACCATATGAGCTATTCTACCTGGAATTTTCATAGTGTGTGTGCTAACAGCAAAATGCCTTTCTGTCTCTGTTCATTAATACTGTGTTTAAACAAACACTAAATGAGTTGCAGTTAGTGTGTCCTACCAAGCTAAGTGTTCATTATATAGTAATGGGCTAGTTGATTAGCAGGAAAAAAAGAAGAGGTTAAGGAAAAGATAAATTCATGTAGTATTCCTGGGGTGGGTGGTGGACTTAAAACGCTCTTAATATGACTTTTTTTAAAAATCTAAGTGATTTTTTTTGTTTTACTAAGTTTATGCTCCTCAGGCAACTGAGTTTCTCTGTTTCCTGGGTAACAGCAAGTTGTTTGCCTTTTCTTCATGATACTGGCTTTTGTTAAGATGAGTAAATATTGAAATAACTTACATATACTCATTATATGCATTATTTATATGTTAAAAATTCCTTCATCTGTGTCTATAGAGCAGAAATTCTGAATTTTAGCAAAGAAATCAAGGCAGATGCTAGAAAAGGAAGAAAGTAATTTGCTTTCTAAGGTTTTTCTTTTAAGGATGGTTTTATCTAAGTGTACAATATTTATTAAACACATTATTTCCAAATAATGTGAATAGAGGAAAAAGATTGAAAGCACAGCAACTTGGAAGGCATGGAAGGCATTCAGGTATACAGTGAGATACATCCTATAAAAGCCTAAATAACAAGAAACAAACCAACAAATTCCTTAAGCATCTGTACCAAAGACATTGCCTTCCACCATAACTGAAGCAAAGGAATATGGGATGCTGCTTTTGATTAAATAGTCTGAAAGAACTGGGAGAAGATGCAAATACAGGGATTTATGTAATGCATAGTTTATAATCATGGCTTCTAATGCTGTAGTAATCACTTTTTTTTTTATTGTGACTTTGAGAGGAGAGTTAATGTTGAAGAACTACAATAGATGGGTTTTTCCCCCACTTTTCAAAATGTCTTGTTTCAATAGCCAGCTGTACAAGATTTGAGTAACTTACTGATGTCATTTTTTTCTATTCTTTTCAGATAACCTTGCTAAAAAACATGAGGTAAGTCTTATTCAAACTAGTTTAATAAAAGAAAACATAAGTCTTATGTTTAGAAGGCAATTATTTTGGCACTTTCTGTAGGAACAATCAATTATACATTCTGAAACGGACTGATTCCCATTTGGAAAATATTTATAGATGCAGATTTAAGAGATGTATGTCTGCAGTTCTTGTATCTTGAGAACTTAGTACTGGCTTTCTTAGACCTACCTCTTGCTTCCTTAGTTTTCAGATAGTGTGATGCAACTTGCAGATTTAAAAACATGTTTTAAAAAATACAAATTGTAGTACAAAAAAGAGAAGCAAATTAGATAAGGAAGTACTGTGATGCTGTTATGTTGTGGTGCAGTCCACAAATATTAAAACTCTTAGAGGGAAGAATGACAGTGAAATAAAATGTAAATTAGTGTAGTCATAGTGCAAGATTAATATTAAGTTCCAACTTCATGATTTTGTGTAATCTCATCATCAGCTAAATGTTAACTGTTAATTAATTTCTAGGCTTATCATCTGGTATCATATTCTCTAGGTGGAAGTCACAGTATTGTCAGGACATACAACATAAAACTATCTAGGTGTAATGCTTCTCCATGACTTAAGCTATTTTTTTAAACATGTTGATTTCTAGGTCAATATTAACTTGTATGTAAAGGAACATATCTTACAGTACTTATTTTTGACAGGAACTGAACTCTTCCCAGTCTTCGTTGCATGATAGAGGATTTTTCAACAAGCTGGACGATGATGTTCACAGAATACTTGAAAGAGAGAAAAGGAAAGTCCAGCTTGCTGATTACAGTGAAACAGATAACTGCACATCTCGTGAACACAACCAGGTATGTAAAACAGCAGTCATTCTGAAGTGAAGTTGTTTGCCTAATGAAGCTTATTCAATGATCAGAAGGGAGCACCTGAGTAGAAGAAAGCACAAATCAAAAGCATGATAATCTTAAAGAATTAAAAAAACACACCACACTGTAATATTTTTATCTATCTGAAGAGCTATTTAGATGACCTAATAATTGAAATAAGTTTTGCTCTACAGAAAATGCCATTATTTATTGCTGTGTTTCTTATCCTTTTGGTATCTGTGCACATCCACCTCTTCAGTTTTGATCAAAAATTCTCTTCTCTAACAAACAAGTTGCCTTTCCCAAGAATCAAATTCATGTGACTAAGTTATTAATAAGTGATGTTTTCTTGCTTATAGGAGACTACTTTGAGAGATGGAAAAACAGAACGACTAAAGCTTGAGCTTGAAAAAAAAGATGCAGAAATTGAGCAACTGAAAAATGTAATAACTCAGTGGGAGGTATGTAGCTGATAATACCTTCAAATAGTAGACAAAATTTAACGTTATTATACATTTGAAACAAAGTATTTATTCAAATGTGACCAGTCTGTAGAGATGCTTTAGACTGGCCACAGATTACGTATTTATAGAGCAAATTCAGTACCACATGAATCGGACTTTATTGGTAAGTTAAGCATCTAAAAATAATCAAAAGAATCAAGACAAAGCATCCAGAAATAAACTTCATATCTGGCATATCAGTCACTACTTGTTTTCTAGTATTGCTATTTTCATGATTTAAAAAAAAAAGCTGTAATCTAAGACTAGGCAAGATCTTGAGCAATCTGATCTGCCTTGGAAGTTAGCTCTGCTTTGAGCAGGAAGTTGGACTTTCTTGGGTCTTTTTCAATCTATTTATTTTTTAAATTCTACTCAGCTTGTCTTGCATTTAAGAACTACATATTGTTGGGATTTTTTGTAGATTCAGTCCAATATTTGAAGTGGTTAAAGAAATCAATATTTTGTCAGGTTTAAGAGAAATTCCTTTGAAGCTGCACTGTAACAAGAATGGACTGCTGTATTTTGTTTATTTTTACCTATTACATACAAGTGAAATTGGAAATCAGATTCACCATATGCTAAAACACACCGTGAAAAAAAAGATTTGCTCGTTAATAATCAGATGGTATTGCTATATATTGGAGTAGCTAGAGAAAATGTCTCTGTCTCCCTGTTGTCAGTCCATGTTAGCATTGTCTGGATAGTATGTAGAGTAAAAAGGGCAAAATTTCCATGAGGAACTGGCATTGTAACAAAATACAGTAAAACAGCATAGAATTATTTTAAATTCTTTTATTACTATTTTTATTCGTTGCTTAAGGTAGACTGAGCAGGCTGACAGATTGGGAGTTTTCTGACGCTTCAAAGAAGTACTTGTAGTAATAAAGCCATTAACTTTGTTAACAGCTGTTTTCACTGTGTACTAAAGTTGGAATCCCCACATGACATTTTAAAGTATAAAACCATTCATATTTACCACTATCAGCACTTGATCGCATTTGACAGAATAAACACTATGCATAAGGATACTGGTGAGGTGATGGATGATGATACAGCTGTTTAATTTTATGAACTTGTCCAGAAACCTTAATATAGTTTTAGGTGGCCATGAAAGGTCTGGCTTAAATGTAGGTTAATTATCCTCAAGGACTGGTGTGATACTCAAAGTGGAAGATAGTAGCTTCTTTATTACAAAAAAAAGTATGTCTGAAACTAAACTTTTTACAAAAGCCTAGAAGAGCAAACTGTATGAAGAGACTTGTGACAGGAAAAACATGTTTACAGCTAAGATACATGGCTAGAAGTGACACTGGTGGCCAGTTAAGGAAAAGACTGACTTACAAAGAAAGTGTGGTGATACCAGATAGATTTGGAAAAAGAACAAAAATAGGTTCTTGAGTAGTAAACTGTAAAGAGTTGAAAAGGAAAGAAACTGTAACGTAGTAACAATAACTGCTGAATAAAATAACCTGTAGAGCAGTGGGGTCTTGTCTTACTTGCCAAGGAATACGGCAAACCGTATTATCTTGGTACCTAGAAAGTGCATGATAATTGTAATTTTTCAGGGGAGAAACCACAAAGCCCTTGATGCAACAGGCCTATATACTTCAGGCAGACCTCAATGGTGGTTCCTGCACTATCAATGCACTGACATAACTTTCTTATTTTGACTTACCCTAAGCCTTGTACTTGCCTTTTTTTCTCAACTCTCAGTTATTAATCCACTTCTCCTGTGGTGTATTCCTTATTTTGGCTGTGGTTTAATTAAGATATAGAAGATCTTTTTCCAACCTAAATGATGCTGTGATGCTATGATTAGATTCTCTGCAGAAGTCATAATTTTAAACTCTAAGTTTGACTCTTAGTCATGCTTATTTTATAGAATAGTTTCTTTTAGTAGGGTATACATGTAATAATTCCATCTCTTTAATACAGGCAAAATATAAAGAAGTAAAAGCAAGAAATGCACAGCTTCTGAAGATGATGCAAGAAGGTGAAAGTAAGAAAGAGTTTTATCAGAAAAAAAAGTTCTTTTTAAAACATGGAAGGAACTTTCAAAGCAGCTTTTTAAAAACAACTTGACTCAGTGACAGCTATAAAGAACTAAGAAGCTATTAATTTGCAGCAACTCCAGTGAACTACAGAATTTGGTGGACCACACACTGCTGCATTTCTTTTATTATATAATGTAATAATCAGTTGCATGTTGAGATCATTCTTTGAAATATCGCCCGTTCAGTTATGTTTTAGGTACAGTGATTCTTTGAGTTAGACTTAATTTTGCTAGTGACAACGATCTGTTCTAGACCAATCTCATCATAATATCTGTTTAGACATGGTTGAGGAAACTGTTCAGTTCTTGCATCTTTGCAAGCTGTGCTTTGAACTGCTGGAAACATCATTCTACATCTAAGCAAGTATTTTGCCACACAATGAATAGGGATAGCTAAACCACAGGATTATGTGTGCAACTGTGTGATAATTTTCTTATGTTATAACACTATTCTGAGTTTTTATGATTCACAATTTGGGGAAAAAACCCTGTATATATATACACATTCATATATATGTAAATATCCTAGTATCTTTATACTTGTTATGCATAGTTATCCTTTAATATTCCTAATGTTGCTTGATGAAGTTGTTTGAGTCTATGATGCTAGCCACACTAATTTTGTTACAAAATTGCCTTTGCTTTTCAGTTTCCTAATTTAGCTCTTGAATGTGGTTTCTTCTCCAGGCTAAATTTTCAGCTAAAAAAGAGCTCAATTTTTTTCTTGAAAGTATGTTTACAAAAACTACATCTAAGCTAGTTCAAATGTTCATAATGTGATTGATCACTGCAAATTTTAACTTGGAACTTGATTACTTCAGGTCAGTGTCTGAGCCAAGATGAAATATTTTCATCTTGAGAGGATAGAGGTGAAGTTCTAAAGGTTTTTTCTTTCTTTGTGGAATAGTAATATACTAGAAAATGAGCGGTTTTGTGTTTTTCTACAGATTGAGTAGTCTGTATTTTGGGGGAGAAGAAAGTTCATGGCAGAATTGAGCCTTGAAAAAACTTAATTTCTTCATATTGAGAATTTTAAGTTATCCACAGATATTTCACAGACACTAGCTGAATAGTTTAAACATCTCCGTATTTGAGTAAATAGAAGTTTCCATAGCTATGACTGAGCTTATATGTGTGACTTGGGATCCCAAAATCTTCATCCATTGTCAATACTCAGTTTTCTGATGGACTTTGTTTGCAGTTGGTATCTTTACAATCCACGCTGCTTACAGGGTTAAGTGTGGGGTAAGTAGTGCAAGGTTGGGGTTTAATCTCCAGAATTTTTCAAGCTGCTACTAATGGTAGCTAATGGTTGGTACTAATGGTAGCTGGTAGCTAATAGTTGGGTTCGATTTACAACGTCTACTGTTCTTTTAGTGAAGACAGCATTATTTAGAGGTAACAAAATAGTGAAATAAAGCAATGTCACAGTGCTATTGCAGGTGAAGACCTGTAAATCTAGAAAGATCCTCATGCTGTTGTATTTCTGTCTCTGTAGTGAAAGACAAAGCAGAAATACTCCTGCAGGTTGATGAATCTCAAATTATCAAAAATGAATTGACCGTACAGGTAAGCAAAGATTTCTAAATATAAAATTTCATGGGTATTTCAAAGATGCTATTTATTTAAGGTAGCGATAGAGGCAGGGGAGGGAGGAAGCTGAAACAAACTTGTTTGAAGCAAAAAATGTTACATTTCATCTTTAGCCCTGCAGTATGTGTGTCAGAGGACATGTATTATGTAAATCTCTAATATGACTCAGAACTCTTTCTGTAAAGACAGCAGACCTCGGCATGCCTGAAATTATTTTGCCCTGAACAGCACTTTAGGAATATCATTCTCTGGTAACCCAAGCTAGGAAGCTTAGAAAGAATCATAGAATCATAGAATGCTTTGGGTTGGAAGGGACCTTTAGAGGCCATCCAGCCCAACCCCCCTGCAGTGAGCAGGGACAGCTTTAACTCAGTCAGGTTGCTCAGAGCCCCATCCAACCTGACCTTGAATGTTTCGAGGGATGGGGCAAAAGGTGCTTCAGCTTCTTCCCTGGGTGGTTGTTTTTTGGGGGGTTTTTTGTTGTTGTTGTTGGTTGGGGTTTTCTTTTTTTTTTTTTTTTATTTCTAGTCTCAAGTTTAGGAGCACAAGTGAGCTACAAATCACTTAAGACGTGTCAGTTGGCAAGTCACTGTAGTAGTAAGCATGCAAGACTTTTATGCATAGTTTTTGGTCTGCAGTGACTGTTAGTTCTAAGCCCTTGACTTGTCCAAACATCTTGCATGTAACACAGTACTATTTTTTGAGGGTGATGTAATAAACTTATCTGTGTTGCATAATACTGCATAAGTGGTTTATGGAATAAACTAATGCAGATAGAGCGTCTAACTTTATAGCTCTTCTGTATCATTATGCAGATAAACCAGTAAATGTTGCTTGGGAAATAAAAGTCATTAAAGAACACCTTACTTGTACTTTCAGTTCATGCACAATGATACTGGTAGTCACTCTTGAAGGTAGCATGTAGTACCTGTTTGTCCAACACAATACTAATGGAGAACAACATTGACTTGATAAACTCACAGATGTTAAGGATATTTTATAAATTCATATTTTGCATGTTTTAGGTAACTATACTTCATGCTGCATTAGAGCAAGAAAGATCCAAAGTGAAACTGCTGCAGGCAGAATTAACAAAATATCAGGTAGTTATTTTCTGTGTTTGTAAGTTTACCTGTTCTTGATGTAGCTGAGACTATCACGAGGTAATGTGCTATGAACTGACCTATTTGCTCTAATTCTTCCCGTTGAAAAATTAGCGGTTCATATTGTAGGAGAAAAAAAAACAGTACCAAAATCAAAGCACAGTTTTGGCAAGTTGAAGTCTACCACCTGTTTTGCACTTCAAAACTTCTTGAAGTATGCTGGTCAATAAACATACTTCAAGCAACAAGTTGGTTTCATTTTCTAAGTCTAACTGTGTGTAACTGGACTAACTGTAGCTTGTCCTAGCTTTTTTTGCCACATTCTTTCTTTGGTTGTGTGTCTTAGTTCTGTTTCTAGCCAAATCTTTGTAAGAGATTCACCGCAAGTTGTGTCGAAATATGAGTGATAAGATCAGTGTCTTGCTGACTGTGCATATGCTGTTTTGTTCAACTTGGCTCCTAATGCAACTCATGTCAGTGAATTTCAGTTAACTTTTGCATAAATAGCATGCTGCTTAAGCATTCTGACTTTTTTTTAAAGAGTGAGAGTATGTGCAAATAAGGATTTGTACTTGTGCATGACTTGACATGTTTTGGTGGGGTTTTTTTTTGTTTGGTTTTGGTGGTTGGTTTGTTTGTTTTGACTGTGACCCTTTGCATAGGTTACAAGGAGAGCCTGTAGTACATAATGGAAACTTCTAAGGTAGCTGCGTAGTTTTTGGCAAGCTATCCTATTTCAAGTTGCAACACATTGTTTGTGTTGGAATACTGTAATTTTGTGAAAACTGGCTCATTAAGCCATGATTACTCTTTCTGAAGCAACAAATCTTTCCTGATTACATCAAATTCTTTGGTTAGCATTACATGGCATTCTGTATGTAATCTCATCTTTTTCTGTTGTCTTTTTCCCTTTGTCACTTTACTGCAAGTGAGCACTTTCCTTCTTAAAATTTTCTTGCAGCAGTTGACAAATACACATGCTTATTCAGTCCCTTACAGACAAGCTGAGAGCTCATACCACTAACTGAAACTAAAGTAAATTTCTTATCAAATTCAGTCATTCACACCACTGTTCTGACTTAGAACTTCAGTCTTTGTTTTCCCCTCCCATCCTTGCCTTTGCTAATGTTAAGTATTTTTCTCTGTAAATAGAAATTTTTGAGTAAGGTAAATTTATCTTGTGCTGACTTGTAATAAACTGGATTAAAAGAATAACAGTAGAAAATTTACAAAAATTGTCTTTGTTATATGCTCAGTAATTACTGCAAAATCACCTATTCTGTTGCTCTTTTTCCCTTGCCCTCCCCAGTCTAATATGCTTTTATCTTTTCACATCTTGCTGTATTTCTTGCTTAATTCATCACCCTGGTCTGTTTGGCTGGTTGGGTTTTTACTTTTTTTTTTTAAATTGGATTTTTGTGTGTGTGTGTTTTTGTTTTAGGAAAACTGTCTCATCTGCCTTGCCAGGATTGTTGTTTCTGCTTCTATTATTCTCTCCTGTAATCTTGTTGGCTGACCAGGACAGCTTTCCTATATTACTAATTGTGTGATGTTGTCTTTGAGAACAAGGCACACTTTTCTTTATGGAATAGTGCTTTGAACATAAGGAGGCCTTTCAAAAAAATGTAACCAAAATCTATAGATTAAAAACAAAGAAACAAGCAAAAACCAACAACAACAAAAAAGCAATAAACCAGTACTGTTATACCTAGATGTTAACATTTCAGTTATGTATCCTGTAAGTGCTGACTGTTTTAATTTGTATAACAATATTTTGTGTTCAGATGAGTTTGTGTCCCGTAACAGTTGTATAATTTAACAAAACTATGCAATTCAACTACTGAGATTTTTTCTTGTTAATTTATACTACTTTAATATATGAAATAACTGCCAATATAAAGTGTCATGTCTAGTATATTAACTAAACATTTGTTTTAATTCTTTCTTACAGAGTGGGAAAAAAGGGAAAAGGCACTCCGAATCTGACCAGTGCAGGTGATCTCCTCTGCCACCAGATTCAAAGCAAAAAAAAAAAAAAAAAAAAATCAAATCTTTCTTCAGGGTTTTGCAGAAATTTATATATTTGTTGTACAACTGCTCAACTATGCAGTTTTTGAAGAGAAATTAACAATTACTAGTTTGTTTAACAGTCTGAATAATTGATTTGTTGCACTTTCTGCTACAGAAAAATTGGAAAAATAGTATTCCAGCGGAGCTGAAACTAACTGTAATGCCATTAGTTTTTCATCATTCAATAAAATTTACTCTTCCATTTCTGTGTTTGAATTCTTGCTTTCACAGAATTTCTCAATTAACAAGACTCTATATCAAGATCCAAATGCATTAATACGCAGATATTTACCTTTAAAGTAGGTGGTTAAAGTCATACTACAGATACAAGTTTCCCATGCTGAAATTAGAAATACTACTGAATTTTGGGGGCAAAAATCTGCAATGAGGGGAACAGAGATGTCTTTGCCCAAAAAAACTGAAAGCTCCACACAACAGAGGTTAGGAAGACCAGGAGGCCGTCGCAAAGATGAGCGGAGCTGGAGAAAAAAATTGCTGGGAGGGATATGACAATGCAACTACAAAACTTTAAATACGATTTTTGTGAATCAAACCAACAACAACAAAAAAAAGTAGGAATAGGGCTTAGGTATTAGAGTACAACTGGAAAATACCTGTTAACTGATCAAGATAATAAAACCAATTACTTTTTTTTCTAGACTTCTGATTGTGTGATTCTAGCTAAGAACTAGCAGTCACAGTTCAGAAGCTCAGGGCTCTGTTCCTGTCTAATACCACTTTTGTGAACACCTTTAGTGTCTTCCAAAGAGTAAAGCCAACCCCACTGAAAGTGAGACAACAGCATTTCATTTATTAGAATTACTGATGAGCTGACAAGGATGTTGCCTTCTGGTTCAGAAGGTTTAGCCCCAGCTAGCAACTAAGCACCATGCAGCCGCTTTGCTCACTCCCCCTACCCTGCTGGGATGGGGGAAGAGAATCAGAGGAGTGAGAAAAACTCCTGG